AAAAAAAAAAAAAAAAAAAAAAAAAAAAAAAAACAGAAAAGAGCCATGAAATTTGAGGCCTAATGATTAGCACTCTGGGATGAGATATGTGTGCTTGAAATTTAAGAAATGTTCTAGTGAACTGTGATGGACTATCCCATCTAAGAAGAAAATAAAAGCTCCTTGTTGCTTCATGCTACTAAAAGCAGAATACTAGTAAGTGCAGTGTGGACCACTGGCCTAAGTTACACCAGACTTTACTCTCACCAATCATACACTGTATGAAGACAATGAAAATCCCCCTTGAATAAATGAGTACAGGGCTCAACACTAACTTTTCAACTCACTAGCCTAAAGGCTAGTGACAACTTAGATGTTACGACAATTTCAATTTGCTTACTAGCCAAACTGGCTGGTGAAAATTGAAAACCAGCAGCCACAACTGAATTTCTACTAGTCTGTGGCTAGTCGGCTACTGATAGTGTCGAGCTCTGTGAGTATCAAGAAAATCTCACCTATCATCTGGTCCTCGTCTACCATCTCTTTCCCTCTCTCTGGGGCGATCAGGAGGGAAGCGATCAGGAGGGAAGCGATCAGTAGGGAAGCGATCAGGAAGTTCCCTGTGAGGTGAGGGTGATCTTCTCCACCTGTCAACTGGGTGGGGTAAGTCTCTAAACCTCTCTTCTTCAGGAAGTCGTCTCCCTGAAAACAAAAAAACAAAAAAATAAAAAAATCTGATAAATCTTATTCAGAGTGTTTCCCCAGAGAAACTGTGATCCACAATGTGAATGATCAAAACTCAGAATTGAAATGATATTTCTTCTGTAGTCAATAACAAAACTAAAACCACTCTCAACATAGTAAATCAAGCCAGGTAATGTACAAGTATTTTATTGAGGGCTCATTGGTTCCTTGTAAGATCTATTTCTTTGCTCTGATTGGTTGGCACGATAACCTTGCCATTGGTTCTATGAAATTCAAATGAAAGCCAGAATTTGAGAAGTGTACAAAATGGAAAACCTGGGAAAGTTCACCATAGAGATAGCATGTCTCCTGTTGGCTAAGATTGCACCAGTCAACCTTACTGTTTTGTATTGCCAACACTCCCAAACACCCTTAGGCTTATCCCATCTTTTTACGGTTGTCTTAGCTAAACAAATGATTGAGTACTCAGTTTTGAAAAGGTCTTCAGCCTTTGTGTTTGCTAGCCTCAGATAAACTCACAGAGAGTTACAAAGCTAAAGGGCAAAAGCACAATCAGAGTGTCTCTGAAACCTTTGTTCTAACCAAAGGAGCTAACGCATCATAAAGGATAAAGGAAAACTAGCAATAAATATCTAAACAAATCAAAGATTTCTCCCTCTTCAAAACACCAATCTAGGAACAAACATGAGCTGGAATAATGCTCATACAATGTACGTTATGAGATGTTTAAACAAACAAGACTCTGGAGTCATATAATGTAGGTACAGCAATAATATGTTCTTATGGAGAGTTGCTCATTTTTTTTTCAAGAGAGCATTGACAAGTGCAACCAAATGATTTACAGATAAACACAAATCAAAGATACAGCTACATGTAAGTCTTTCATAGACATGGGCAAACTAACATAGGCTAGAAAACTGAGGATGCAAAAACAGACAGTAAATTGGTGAACAGGTACTACTAGGTAAATTAAGTAACCTGCACTTTATAATAACTGACTAAACAGACCCATTAACAATAATATCACTCAAAAGGGCAACAAGTACTCACAGTCTCTTCTCTCTCTATCCCATGGTGGTGGTAGAGGGCGACCAAAGCGATCGAACTCCTCAGGAGGTGGAGGCCTGCCTCTAAACTCTTCCACTGGCGGAGATCGTCCCCGTCTGATGTGATCAAGTGGTGGCCAAGGAGGTGGAGACATGCGTCTTCTTCTCTCGTCCTCATCAAATGGGTGTCTCCCTCTATGCCCATCTCTGCCCCTGGGAGACATGGGTCTTCCTGGAGGACCGTGTTCCCTTGAGGACCATCGAAATTCCTCCCTTTCACCTGGAGGGAGAGGAGGAGGCCATCTCTCTCTTTCATCCCTCGGAGGTGGTGGCCAACGATCTCTGCCTCCTCTTGGTGGAAATGAAAAATCTCTTTCATCTCTAGGAAAAGGATGTCTATCTCTTTCCTCTCTAGAATGGGGTGGCCATTCCCTTTCATCCCTTGGGAAAGGAGGACGATCCCACTCATCTCTGGGGAAAGGAGGTAGATCTCTGTCATCCCTTGGAAAAGGAGGCCTGTTCCACTCATCTCTAGGGAAAGGAGGACAGTCCCAATGATCTTGTGGGAAAGGTGGTTGGTCCCAATCACGCCCAGGGGAGGGAGGGCGGGGTCGTTCATCTCTTGGATACGGTGGTCTGTCTCTCCCTTCCATTTCTGGTGGTCCTTTATCAGTAGGCTCTCTTGGTATCTGATGTCCCTCCTTGCCTTGTTCATCCTGTTTTGAGTAGTTATCAATGGCACTAATGTCATGAGGTTTAAGATCTGGTTCAGTTCCTGGCACAGGGGGTCCTCCTTCCTTCACATCCCTAAAAGGTGGCCTCTGATCTTCCCCATCCCTTAGTAGAGGTGGTCTCTCTTCCCAGTTGTGTCTTCCTAATGGAGACCTTCTGCCATACTGTTCTTGAGGATGCCTGTCATCCACTGAAAAGGGGGGTCTATCTCTTGGGAAAGGGGGTTTTCTATCCCATTCTTCTCTTGGAAAAGGAGGTCTTCCAACTGGCTTATCTGGCCAAGGTCCTGTATCTCGATCACCAGGTGGGAAAGGTGGTGGTCCATCTCTATCATGCCTAAAAGGACCAAAGTCCCTTTCACCCCTTGGTGATGGGGGTCTTAGTCCACTGTTATGTCTATCAAATGGTGGTCTCCAGTCTTTTCTGTGCAAGTCTTCATCACCATACTGCCCCTCTCTTGGAGGTGGTGGCCTTCCATCTCTGTTTGTAGGAGGGTGCTCTCTATCCCAGCCCAAAAACCTATCACCAGGTGGTGGTGGGGGCCTATCTGAATCTTGATGGGGTTTCTCTTTATCCCAAGGAAGGGTATCCTTTGGATGTCTCTCCCCAAAGTATGGTGGTCTCTCCCGATCACCTCTGGGACCCCAGACATGCTCATGATGTTCAGACTGCTGAAAATGTTCTGTTTCATTCTGTCTTGATGCAGTAGGAACAGATTGTTCTCCTATTGAAACCTGTGGCTGTTCTTCACCTTGGTATTGCTCACTTTCGACATCAATGTAATCTCCTTGTGATTGCTATAAAGAAACAGAATTGTACATGTGTAAACTACAGCTTCCTACAATAAAAAAATTCCTCAAAATTATTTCACTTAATGCATCAAATGATGACGAATAAAAAATGTTTCTTTAAGATTAGTTGTCAACCAATAGACATTATGTGTACATGTGCTTAATACCCTTTACAGCACCAAGGCTGAGATGTGTGGAAGGCATAACCCTGAACTGGATTCAAAATGTTTTGGTTGACAAATATGTGTAAATTTCTGTGAGTAATTTGCCTTCAAATTTTGGGTGTCAACACAAAAACTAAATGTGATGGCCTTGGACAACAATACATGTTTATTTGTGCTCAAACAAAAGAAGCTAAATGCATGTGTTCACTCACATGATACTTGCTGTCTTGATAATTATCTTTGTCTTTGCTGTCCCCATCTGCTATGAGAAAGCCAAAGTTACCACCCTCTCACTCACAGGTAAAGGTAAAAGTAAAGTCTGTACTCAAGCATACTGACACACCCAGTCGGAGCTTCTACCAGTTTCCCTGCAGCATGAAGTGACCAGGACTATTCCTTCTCCACCCCTTGGATGGGATGTTAGTCCATCACAGGGTTACCCCCCTCCCCCCCCAATTTACCAGTACTAACATATGGTCCTGGGTGGAGAGGCACTGCAAGAGTAAAGCATCTTGCCCAAGAACACAACACATTGACCCCCCCCCTCAGATTTCTTGAACCAGAGTCCAGTACACTGACACTTAGGCCACCAAGTCTCCCACTCTTACTTATAGGAGACTCATGTTTTTCCTCATTTCATGCTCATTAGATCAGTTGAAATCTTTGTCTGACTTCAGAACCTTCACGAAGGATATGGCATGGTTTGTCAACAAGTGTTTTAGAGCTCAAATGGTATGATCAGTTGAGGCTTGCAAAAAGGTTTGGTGACAAGGTTCTGACTGTAAAATTACAGTTTTGTCATAGCAACCTTCCTTGTTTCCACTGGTTGTGGAAACTCAAGAGCTGTGCATCGCCAACCGTCAAATTTAAAAGCCTGCCGAAAAAAGGTCAAAAAACACATTTCCACTGGTAGCGGGGCCAGTTGTCTATGCCAACAACTTGAATTTAACTTCAAAACATGGTTGCCAAACTTCTGTTGCACTTCACACAACTGAGAAATTGTAATAGAACATTTGATTGCAAAATTTGCAAAATCAGAACTGACTAAGGCTTGAGTACTCTTTGTCCCATATTGATGAAAATCGTTTGGATTTCTCCCTCAAAGTATGACAGCTGATATCGACACACAGACCTGTTTTAGTTTTATCTTGAGTTTGTGCTGGCACTATTGGAAATTCACCATCTCCAATACCAGGAATTTGATCTCCTGGACCTGTTAATGAAACAATACCCTGGCTTTGCATCTCAGACTCATCTGGAAAATCACCTAGTATGTGAAGAGAAATCAAGGTAAAAAAGTACCTATTAATAAGTGTACAAAACAAAACAAAACAAAAAATCCTGTAAATTAATCCCTAACTGGTTATGAAGTTGTTCATTCCAGTTTGACAAATCAGTCACAACTAAAGCCCTGGTAAAAAACAAAGGGGAATTTTTTTTCCATTTATTGACCATCACTGTTTTGCAAGTTTAGCATTAGGGTATCAGTGAACATTATAGCATACCTGGGTATTGTGATTCCTCTGCATTTTGTTCATTTGAAGAATCTTCACTGTGATCAAATATACACCTATCATTCTCACATCTAAATGAAACAAGCACATTTACAAACATCTATCAATCATACGGTATGTTTTTATGTCTCTTTATACACACCTAGGGTAGTTTTAGATACTAAATCATTCCTGTTTGGCTTTTTTTCTTTCTGTTTTATTTTTTTCTTTCTGTTTTACCTTTTTTTCTGAGACAAAGTTTTGATTTGCAATTAGTTGTATCTAGCTTAATATATTATCTTTATAATTTGTAGCCCTCAATCTACAAGAATTTTGTGAGCAGTCACCCACTTTCAAAGACACATTGGAGGAAATCTTTTAGCAAGTTGCTGATGTGTATTTGAGAATTAATTCTACTTTAAATTTATAATATGTGGTGTGTCCAGCTTTTCATGGGTGTTGCCTTAAGAGCGATATCTATGATTCTGCTCAACCATTTCCTAGACGTCTTCCACAAAACTAAGGTGATCTTTTGGGCTCTGTTGTATTCTATGACAAATGTTGAGATGTAACCTCAGGCATACCTCAAACCATTTTTACACGGAGGATGTTGAAATTTGCAGCCAATCCCAAAACGGCAATTAGGGAAAAACTTGCAGGCTGACTTTTTGCCTTTAGGCTTTGAATTTCTGACAGTGGTACCTGTAACACCAAAATTTTGATCAAGGACAAATTAGTATATCACTGATGACATTGAAACATCAAATCAGGTTTAAGTCAAAATTTTAAGTTATATATGGCTAGAAAGTGCCATTTCTCTAAGGACAGCCTAACTCTGAGCCTATGATGGTGGCACAGATTATTTTTTTCCACCAGGAGCTGGTAATGTACAAGTAACTTTGGTTTTTGCAATGATAGAGTACAAATAAATAAATAATTTAGCAATGGACATTCCCCTGGATGGCTTTTCTTGTCCACTGTTTCCAGATTGAATTGGAATTTGGAATGTTGGTTTTTGCAGAGGGAGAAAAACTGGAGGACCCAGAGAAAAACCCTCGGAGCAAGGACGAGAACCAACAACAAACTCAACCCACATGTGATGCCAGGTCTGGGAATCGACCTGGGTCACAGCGTTCTCATCACTGCTCCATTCCTGGTCCCCAAGTTTTTGATCTTCAATGTCAGTGATCTACTGGTATTTCATAATATTACTGTAAGTTAGCCCTTAATCTTTCACACTCACAAAGGGTCAATGCCTCAAATATCAGCTTCTGTCAGAAACTCTCTATGATTGCCACCAGAGCCAAGTCAGTTGATAAGACCAATTGATATTATTTTGTCTACACTGGACTACATTCCCTACCATGAGAGAGAGATGCCATATCCCCTTCCTCACCACTAACTCATCATTACCAAAGCTCACCTGTGTCTGAATTTTGAAAGAAAAATTGACTCACCTTTATTATAATCTGCAGGACTTGATTTATCATTTGCCTGGCCTGAAAGGCTGTACTGTAACCATGGATCATTTGTTGTTTTGTCAGCCTGGCTACTGGTTACAACATGACTTGATGACGTCGCCGTGGTTGATTCTGACTTGCTCATGGTGCTGGGTGCAGGTGATGTCTGCTTCAGTTGTTTCTCCAGTTTCTCAAGTTGCTGAAGTTGTTCTTGCTGTTTCCTTAGAAACTCAAGCTCCTTTAAGGGATCTAGATTATCAGGACTTATACCAATCATGGCAGATGGCCTATTTCTGTTGAGGCAAAGAAATTCCTCTTATTAATAAGTTTGAGGTCTGTACTTTAAGTTTCCAGCCAATTTTTTTTTAGCTCTGATTTATGGCCCAAGTGCCAAGGGCATACATTCGAGCAGAAAAAAAGGTTAGTAATACCTAACTTACTGTATGAACCAAGAAAAAAAAGGTTATTAAGATCTTTATTTTATCTCTGGGTTCACACAGAGGGAGAAGATTACAAATGAAACAAACTTTTGAACTTAGTAACCTGTAGAGTGAAATAAGGCCACTAAATTGACCAATCATAGTGCATATGTCATAAAAATTATTGCAACAGCTTCTACACGAGTTAAAGTCTGGCAAAGGGATCTTCAGTGATACACATCTATGATCTGCTAAGAAGATCTTGACAAAGGTTACCCCACAATTTTAAAGGCCACTCTGAAAGAGCTATCAACTAATTAAATTCTTTGCAGAACATTTGGTTTTGTAGAAAAAAAATGGTTCAGAACACCATTCACTAGCTTGTACTTCATTTTCAAAAAAGAAAGCCAACACAAAAAATGTCCACTGACCCAAATAGGTATTTGCAAAACTTAAAAAAAGAAATTACCTCCCAGGAATAAAACACCACCATTATAGAGCTTGAACAGATACTAGTATAAAAAATGAATTCCCAGCTTAGTTTTAAAAAATTTGACTCCTACAGTTTCATCTCACAAAACACAACAATCTCCAACCTGCAAATTTTAACTCCTAGAGAGTTTTAATACTACAGTTTATTACACGACTCGGGCAGTCAGAGGGCCAATAACTAAAATCAACCAATCAAAATGCTCTATTACCGGTCAATATTCTCTCAGTATTGGACCGGGCACTGTCCCGAATGGTCCCGAATGATACCTCACTTGTGTCCCTTTGAACTTCAGTTGTATAATAAATCTCTTATTAACCAAGCTTGCTTGGGACCATAGTGGAATAATATCGGCCCTCGGTCTTTTTTGTACGGACCTCGCTGCGCTCACTCCGTACTGTCAAGACCTCAGGCCGATATTCTCCCAGTGCGGCCCTCGCGCTTGGTTAATAAGATATATGTATTTCTCCTTGAAACAGTAGAACTACTAAAAGAAAATGCCTAGCATAGAGTGCAACATTACCTCTCCATTTTATCCCACTTAGATCCTGTTTTTGTAGAGGTTTCACCTACAATTCAATGACACATTCAGTTGAAGATCCATATGTTATTGTTGTTTACACGTACATGTTGTAAACTAAGGAAATACATAATTTTGGCCTGGGCCATTGTTAAGAGTTTGTGAAGACTTTGCAAAGCAGATTGATAGAAAAACAGAATAACACTTTGATCTGGAAATGTGATTCATACAAAATTTTGGGAAGGAAAACATTGCTTCATGCATACATGCCAGGAGCGTGGAATTGCCTACACAAATTTTACATCTATTTTTTATCACTGACAATTCTTCCAACTCAATTACCAGGGAGCTAAAATTGTAAAATTGTGGGAGATGCAATTGCCTAATGGTTAGTCAAGGCTGTGCTCTAAGAAAAATAGAGGGGAGCCCAGTGCTCTGAAACTGTGAAATCCAGGGTGCCCGGCATATGCTTTTTTATGAAAAAACTAAGATTCCTGAGTCACCCAAGAGTAAAAGTAAGGCGCCAGGGGCCACTAGGTGCTGCTAAACCACAGCCCTGGTTAGTGAGCTGAACTCCAGAGAGAGAGACCTTTACTCTCAGTGTCTCTCTCCACCCAGAAATATTGCTGAGTAGCGGCAAATAGCGAGGGAAGCCTCATGGAATGCTTAGAGGGTTAACCTTGTGATGAACTAGCATCCCATCGGGGGAGGTGGGGGAAGAAGTAACACTCCCTTTCGCTTCTTGCCATGGAAACTAGGATATACTTTACTTTTCATCACCAGGAGATAATGTAAGACACTATGTGAAATATAATATGACATTATACTGCTGACCAGACCCATTGTCTTTGTTAAGGTAAAAAAAAAAAAACTACTATCATGATCAAATTCACAAAGATGCCTAAAGCATCTCAATGCTTTCTTCTCAAAGACCAAGGGAAAGAAGCAAATTAAAAGAAAAAAGAAATGACGTTTCAAGCAAATATTTATCTAAGTATTGTATTACCCCTTGATAAATGATGCTAAAAAAAGGCAGTTTTGGTCACCACATTTCTCTTCTATTAGTTGCACATAATTTAGGAGACCAGAATGGTCACACCTTAATTCAAGGAAATGTTTTTTACCTGGGTTGATTTGTCCTGTAGTATTTCTTGGAGCAGCAGGCATCTTAGCCTGAAGCCATTTTGGTATCTGAGCTTTTGTCTGGTGATCTTCACCTTGGTTATCAACTGGGAAAGATTTGTTATTACTAAGCCAGTTTGGCATCTGCTTCTCTTGAGAGACAGTTTCAGTTTGATAACTTTTCGAAGACCCCCCCTGCAACCATTTAGGAATATGTTTCTTTTGAGCTTCTGTAGCTTGGAGAGCTTTCTTTGCCGCTTCTTGTTTCACATCCCATTCAGTTTTTTCAAGTTTTTCTTTTAACCATTTGGGCATATTATTGTCATCTTGACGTTGTTGCTGATTTGTAGAACTGTTCTGAGATTGTAGCCATTTGGGAACATTTTTATTTTCAGCTGCAGCAGATTTCTGAGTCCAAGTAGAACTTTTCTCTAATTCACTTGGTCTAGCTGTAGCTTTAGAGGACTGCATCCACTTTGGGAGATGACTCTCCTCTGTTGTAAATTCATTTTTATGCTGAATTTTACTGTCATTTTGAGGTCTGATTGGCTGAACATCCATCAAACCAGGGATTTTTTGTGGCACTGGACCTTGATTATAATTCTGAGAACTCTGCCTGTTTCTATTGTTCTGATTTTGTGTCCAGTTTGATGTTTTATTTTGATCATATTGCGACTGCCATTGTTGTTGTTGTTGTTGCTGTTGTGATTGTCTCTGGTTAAAATAATTTGGATTTTGTTGTTGGTTATAATGGCCTGGAGTATTTTGTGAAGAATTACCTTGAGACCACTGGGCCTGAACAGGCTGTTGTTGATTGTGAACAAATTGCTGAGGCTGATTAATAAAGGGAGTTTGCTGACTGTACAACTGTTGTTGTTGGTGAGGCTGTGGTTGTTGTTGTTGATGCTGTGATTGTTGTTGATGTTGGGATTGCTGTTGATGCTGTGGTTGTTGTTGTTGTTGATGTTGTGGTGGTTGTTGTTGATGTTGTGGAGGTTGTTGTTGATGTTGTGGTGGTTGTTGATGATGTTGTGATGGTTGTTGTTGATGTTGTGGTGGTTGTTGTTGATGTTGTGGTTGCTGTTGATATTGTTGATATTGTTGCTGCTGCTGTACGACTGTATGCCCTTGAGCTGGAGTAGATACACTTCCTACAGCAGCCTGCTGTTGAATTGGCTGCTGCTGCTGCCTGTCTCCTCCTTTAATCTGCATTAAGGTTTGATTATGTTGCGTCCACTGATTCATCTGCTGCTCCTTGTCTCCTCCTTTACTCTGCATTAAGGTTTGATTATGTTGCGTCCACTGATTCATCTGCTGCTCCTTGTCTCCTCCTTTACTCTGCATTAAGGTTTGATTATGTTGCGTCCACTGATTCATCTGCTGCTGCCACTCTTGGTACTGCTTCTGATCAGGATGGTTCTGATGCTGAGCCTGCCACTGGGCATACTGCCGCTGCCATTCCGCATACTTCTCCTGATACTCCCTCTGAGCTTCAGAGATCTTCTGTTCAACTGATGAAGAATTAGGTGCTGGCTCAGGAGGTAAGGGAGGAGGGGCAGCCGTGGAAGAATCAACCTGCTCTGGCGGCAATGGCGGTGGTCTCTCCTCACTCGCGATCGGAGCATTTTTTTGTGCTGTCGCCTGATCGTGGCCTTGGCTGACTTGAGCAGTTCCGGGTTAAAAATTTTGCCCTGGAGCATTAGCTGCCACATATTGCTGTGCCCCTGCGACTTGAGCATATCCCTGTACAGGATACTGACCTACTGAAGCAGCTGTTTGGGGAGTCTGATAAGTGATAGCTCCATATTGTGGATACTGTTGAGGCGTTTGGAACACTTGCGCTTGAGTAGGTTGTTGAACGTAGTAATACGGCTGTTGTTGAGTGTACTGTGCTTGGTACTGGTACTGCTGTGGTTGCTGTTGTTGTAGTTGTGCTGGTGGATACGCGTACGGATTCATTTTTCCGATCGCTTTTCAAGAAAAGACCCGGAAGCGGTTTTTCGCTTACTTCATTACTGTCCCGTCAAGATGGCTGCCATGCGGTAAGCTTTCAGTCAAATAAGCAGCCTGGTCTTCCTCTGCTTAGCATCCAGGCCTGTTAGTCATTCAAGATGGCGGATGTTCGAGAGAGACTCGAAAGACGTAACGAAGAGCGATTGGCAGCGATCGAGAAACGTAAAGCTGACAAAGAAAGCAAAGAACAGCCATCAGAAAATGTAGAGTACATCACATCAACTTTTTCTAAAGAGAAGAGAGAAATAGATGAGCAGTTATGCAAAAGTGCCACTTTAATCGAAGCCGGGAATAAAATGAAGGCCGTTGAATTCTTTGATATGCTGTCAGAGAAGTGCCAAAAACTTCAAAAATTTGTGGCCGATTCAGCAATGTTTTTGCCTTCTCGTGACATACAAGTCTTACAGGAGACCGTAAAGACTTTACAACAAGATATTAATGAGAAGAGGGAAGAATATCTGCCCAAGAAAAAGTTTGCTTTCAAAGCGAGAAAGAAAGAGGCGCCAAACAAGGTCAGTATAGGGTAGGGAGGGTCAGAGTGAATCCTTCAATCAAATACTCAGGGGTTTCATTAAGGAATAAAGGCTGATAGTTTCTAAAGAAACTGTTTGGGGCTGGGTCGGTGGGGGTAACGAAATAAGGTTTCATTAAGGGCCTGGGCACCAGGCAAATTGGCCAGTTGTGAGGAGGGTTTTGCCCACCTGGTTTGACTATCTGGAGGAAAGTTTATCTTATACAGTAAACTAGTCACCCCCCTGCTGAATACATTAATGAAACCCCTGAATACTAATATCATGATAACTAGATCAGTCTTTGAAACAGTGATACTGCGAGCGATGTTTTCCCCAATTGTATTTGATTTTGGGGAGCTTTACAGTATCATTATTGTGCATATTGTAGGAGTGCATATCACTCTTTCTTACAATGTCCAAAGAATGATTAATTCCGCCATTAATACACTTGTATGCATATATACGTCGATGACATTTCCTACGTTCTTCACGATTTGGCCATCTCAAGACTGTTAATGCATCAGTGGATGAGGAGTGAAGTGATCTATCTAATATCAACTTAGCTGCTTTGTTTTGCAGAATTTGCAATTCCTTCATTAGTGTGACATTGTCCTTGTCACCCCAGACTAAATCAGCATAATCAAAAATAGGCAGCACTAAGCTATTATAAAAAAGTAACCGAGTGTCTTAGCCATTGGCACCAAAATGGGACCCCGCTATGCCAATCTTTTTGTAGGTTTTGTCGAACACCAATTTTTCAGTCAATACAACGGCCCCAAACTTGAACTCTACGGTCGCTGCATTGACGATTGTATCGGCGCTACCTCCTTTACCAGAGAGAAGCTAACTCAAATTTGTAACTGCAGTCAAGTGCTTTCACCCGGCTCTAAAGTATACCGGGGAAATTTCTGACAATTCTTTATTCTTTTTAGACATCAAAGTTTCAATCGAAGACAACGGCTTATGCACTAGTGTATATTACAAACCTACAGACTCACATAGTTTCTTGTTGTATTCATTTTCGCATCCATCTCATGTCAAGAATTCCATTCCCTTTTCTCAGTTTTTTAGACTTCGTTGTTTATGTAAAAAACGTGGTTACCTTGTTTCTGTCGTTCAAGCGGGTCACCACCGCACCCAACTTATCGATCGACAGTCGGCACCAAATACGTCACAGAAGGAAAATTCCGACCGTATTCCACTCACTCTCACATTTCACCCTCACAACCACGCAATTAAATCCATTTTTCTCAAAAACCTTAAATTACTCAAAAACGATCCAGAGACTGGCACTATCTTCTCGCAACCTCTACCTGTTCCATTCGAACGCGACAAAAACATAGGCAACTCCTTGGTCAGAAGTTCACTTCAAACTAATGACCAATCCGGAACTTTTAAATGCACTCGCGCATGATGCAAAACCTGTCCTTTCATTCACAACGTTGAGAAAATATGGGGACCCAAACTGTCCATTCAGATTGCTGATCACTTCACGTGCACCTCCGCCAATGTCATCTATTGCATAACTTGCACTTACTGCAAAAAGATATACATTGGCGAAACGGGAAGACGACTTGCTGACCGATTCTGAGAACACCTTCGCGACGTAGAAAGGAATTATAAGGACGCATCAAAACTAGTCGCTGTACACTTTAATCTATATTTTAGCATCTTCCCACCAATGTCATAGCTGGAGTTTCTGCATATAAACACACGCACAACCCA